TGTAACTAAAACATAAAACATTTAATAGATTTAACAGAATTGTGTATCAAAAATCTACATAGCAATTTTAATTTTTTTAATAATTAATACTCATTATTTGAGTTATGGCAAAAACATGCACGGAATAAAAGTTAAGGAAAAAGTTTAAAATTGTAATTGAATCAAGTTACTAATTTGGATTGAACTCAATCAATATTTGAACCTATTTCGTTTGAGTTAGAGTTACTTAAACAACAAATCAAGTTGAATCGAGTTTGAATTTTGTAATACTCAATTTGAATAAGTTGAGAGTTTTATCTAATTTTTTAATTTTTTAGATAATATTAGATTATATATATACATATTTAATTACATAATTTAAAATTTTATTTGAATTTTAATTTTCAATTCAAATTTAAACTCCAAATGAGTTTCAAACTTCATAAACAAATTAATGAGATTTGAATCTAATTGAATTGAACTTTAAATAATTTAATTATTTTTTGAATAGAACGAATGTTCAATTCTTTTAATCGAGTAGAGTTTGAGTTTTGTATTGTGTCGGCTTGACTCGACTATATCCTTGAGAAAGATAATCAATTTATGATTTTAGAAAAAGTTTAATAAAAATATGTGGCATCAACAATCATAGCAATTTTAATTTAGTGTATAGTTTTACTTCTAAAGTAATAATATGGAAAAAAAAATTGTTTAACTCCGTAAATGGCATTGTAGTAAATTTCACATAGGCACTTCTTTTACAGCTACGCTCGGAGGCCCGCGTCGTTTACTTATCACCGCTTACAGCCATCTTCGTCATCCTCTTCATTAAATAAAAAATAAAATTACTATTAGTATTAAAATATTAAAAAAGGTGATAAAAAATAAAAAAAAATCATCGTCGAATTAATATAGAGTTACTTAAAATTTCTATTATGCAGAGAGTGAAAAAGAAAGAAAGGAAAAAAAAAATAATCCCCAATTGAAACCCCTCGTTGTTGGTGTTGTTTTTTTTTTTTTGCAAACCCCAAGCGCAGAAAAATTAATTCGATTCCCCCGTTTCCCCATTTCCCCTTTTTCTCTTCGCGATCTTCTCCGTCTTCTCATTCA